TTGACCGTGACCCCCCGGCCTCCCCCGGGATGATTCCCCCGCCACCTGTTCCACGCTCTGCCGCATTTCCCAGGCCGCGGCCGGGCGGAGGGACACAGCAGCGTCCCCAAGGGGGCCCCGACCCTAAAAAAAAAATTATCAATTAAAAACCTCTCCTAAAAAACCCTTAATCCCTGGCCTCCGCCACCCAAGCCCGCGTTCCCCAGCCCCTCAAGCAAGGTCAGGCCGGCCCGGCCGCGCCGGGGTGCTGGGTGGTGCCATTTTGGGTGCTCACGGCTGGGGCGAGCTGGGCCCCGGGGCCTCGATGCCACCGCGATAAGGGACGTTCGGGGCCACCTCGGTTAATAGGACGGGGCGGGCGGCTCTGCTCTATCGCTCCCATCTCCGGCTCCTTCTGCTTCGTGTCCCCTCCCCGGGGGGGCCGGGACCGTCCGTTCCGCTCGGCCGCGGGGACGCGGGCCGCCCCGATGGGCTGGTGGGGTGTTGGCACGGGGACAACGGCCCCTTTGGGGTTGCTGCGTCCCCTTCAGGGGTGCAATGTCCCTTTTTGGGGTCGCTATGATCCCTTAGGGGTCGCTGCGTCTCCTTTGGGGGTGCAACATCCCCTTTGGGGTCACTGTGTCCCCTCTGGGGTTGATGCATCCTCTCTGGGGTTGTTACATCCCCTTTGGGGGTGCAATGTCCCCTTTGAGGTCACCGTGTCCCCTCTGGGCTTGCTGTGTCCCCTTTGGGGGTGCAGTGTCCTTTTTGGGGTCACTGTGTCCTCTCTGTGATTCCCGCCTCCCCTTTGGGGGTGCAACATCCCCTTTGGGATAACTATGTCCCCTTTGGGGTCCCCTTTGGGGTCACTGTGTCCCCTTTGGGGTCTCCTTTGGGGTCACTGTGTCCCCTTTGGGATTTCTGTGTCCCCTCCAGGATCCCTGTGTCCCCTTTGGGGGTGCAACATCCCCTTTGGGGTAACTATGTCCCTTTTGGGGTCCCCTTTGGGGTCACTGTGTCTTCTTTGGGATTTCTGTGTCCCCTCCTGGATCCCTGTGTCCTTGTCCTTTGGGGGTGCAACTTCCCCTTTGGGGTAACTATATCCCCTTTGGGGTCACTGTGTCTCCTTTAGGAGTGCAATGTCCCCTTTGGTGTCACTATGTCCCCACTGGGATCCGTGTCCCCTTTGGGATTTCTGTGTCCCCTTTGGGGGTGCAACATCCCCTTTGGGGTCACTATGACCCCCCTGGGATTTTCTGTGTCCCCTCTGGGGTTGCTGTGTCCCCTCTCCTTACTTTCAGGGCTCTGCGCTGCTCCTGCTCCCCCCAAACGGCTGCTAACGCGACCGCAGCCTCCGAGCGCAGGAATAGCCACGTTCTGTCCCAAAAAGCCTCCAAGCGAGCCCATAAACTGGGGGAAATGGGGAATAAAAAAAACCAAAAAACCTCAGCAACCTGTATTTTTGGGGGTGGGATGCGCTGCGCCGGCTGTATTCAAATCTCACATTAAAATATGCTTTAGAGGAATAAAAAACTACACGGGGAATTTCTTATCGCCCCCGGGACGAACCGAAATCCAATTATCCCTCCAGTCCGGTGCCCGGCCCCGCTCCGCCGGCCGCCTCTTATCCCTCCTCAGCATCTGCTTTTTATTTTGCCTTCTTTTGATTGTTTTTCCCCCTTTTTTTTTTCTTTTTTTTTCTTTCTGATTATCTCTCCTCTCACTGCATCTCCTCCTCTCTACCTCTTTCCATCCTTTACCCCATAATTGTTTGGTTTTTTTTTTTCTGTCTCCCTTCACCTTCCCTGCGCTCAGCTCTTATTTATCCATCTCTTTGATTTTTGCCACCTTTGCATTTGAGGCATAAAGAGTTTTTTTTTAATTACCCGTGAAATCAATAATTTTTTTTTTATTCTTCTCTGGAATCGCAGGGAAAACGGGGGTTAGCCACAGCACCGCAGACGTCCTCGGCAAGCCTGGCCTGGGTCAAATTTTGCTTTAACTTTTGCTTTAACTTTAATTCTTGCTTTAATTTTTGCTTCAGCTTTATTTTTTGCCTCCACTTCAATGTTTGCTGCAGCCTTAATCTTCACTTTAATTTTTGCTTTAATTTTTTTGCTTTGACTTTAATTTTTGCTTTAACCTTAATTCTTCCTTCGATTTTCAGTTTTGCTTTAACTTTCATTTTTGCCCAACTTTAATTTTCCTTCCTCCTGCTCCGCGGCAGCCGTGCAGCTCTGCCAGCACTCTCCTAAATCTCATTTCAATGACGAGGGTCTCGCCTAACCCAGCTGCCTTGCTGGCGAGGAGCTGGCAGTTGATGCCAATGACATGATTTTGCATTTTTTCCCCATTTTTGATGCAAAATTCCGTTCTACAGCGTGGTGGCCCGCAGCAGCGCCTGGTGCTGCTCACCCCCAGGACCTACCAACCTGGAGCTGACCCTCCCCTCCTCGAGGGTGGGAAATGCACCTCTCTGGGTTACAAAGAAACTGCACTTCCACCAGAGCAAAGCAAAGGATTGAAGGATGAGCCAGAGTCGGGTTTGAAGCACCCCAAATCTCCACGCCAGCGCTGCACACCCCTGCAAATATTCACACCACCATCAAAACACCCCCCCAAATATCCCCTGATTTGAGGGGCACACACATGGACTGGGACTGACAGCCCAGGCTCCAATTATTTGGGGGGGGGACACAAGCTGGAAAATATCCCCTGAAAATGGGTTGCAAAGGGGATGGCGGGTCCGTGCCGGTGATTTCCCACTGCAAAATTCCAGCTGGCAGCACAGGGATGCCTGGGAATGGAGGGAGGGAGG